TTTTCGACAATAAACTTGAAATGTAAGGACGTTTTGTGCCAATTACCATTTCAAATATTTTAATAAATAAAAATCAATTTTAAATATGGGGCATTACAAGTATACTAAAGGATGTGAATGTATTAGAAAACTAATTCAAAAGTAATAATCCTTATTTCATGCCCATATTTGACCCCATATTTTAAAAGGAAAATTCTATTTGTACATAATTATTGTACATAATGGTGTCCATAATGTGATGTGACAGTCATCCGGTTGTTGATGTACAAATGTGAAATTTGAATTAAAGGTTAGATCCAGTGTCACGTGTAATTTTGGACACCATTATATAAACTATTATGTACATGTAGCACAAACAGCATATTTTATAGAATCCTTAGCTTTTATTAATTTTTCAACTGCATATTTGTCAACATTTATTAAAATCTTTCCACGATCAACGTGAGGGCCCCTCACGTGAGGGGACTCGTGTATAGCAAGCACAACCCTTATTACAAAAACCACCTCAACCATTTTGAAATTTTATTACATTATGGCCTCGTTTGGGAGGGATTTTGAGAATTGATTTTTTGACCGTTAGAAGAAAAGTGGGGTCCACCAGTGAAAGAAGAAGTCAAAAATTATGGCTGAAATAGTGAAATAACGGTCAAAAAATCAATTTTTTGAGATAAAAAATCCCTCCCAAACAGGCCATATAACTTTATTCGGCCAAATAACATTATTTTTAAATTTCACCAACGCGATGGCCAATCAAAAGATCCAAAACCGGCCACCTGTGACCAAATAATATCATTGGCGACGTACTGCAAGAGACATGCACGATAAACAATGTGTTGTTCGACTAATTGTCTAAAAAGGCTAATTGTCTAAAAAGGATAACGCGTGCACAACAACTCAGCTTTATACTTTGGTTGATTCTCTTATGGCGTGTCTACAAAAGTATTTATTTGCAAGGTAGGACTAGTGTTTATCTAATTGTGAATGCATCATGAACAATACTTTTAAAAATTAACTGACTAATTTTCATTAAAAAAAGTGACAATTTCCATGGAAATAATAGCTATCAAACAACAAAAACAGGAAAAAAATGACTATTTTCATGGAAAATAATGGCTATCCAATGCCAAAAGATAAAAAAGTATAATATTTTCCAAATTGAAAATTAAGTCAATCAAACACATTTAATGAACAAATTCCTCACAGCTTAGAACTTATTTTAATTCCATACTTGCAATCAAACACATCTTAACAATTTTTCGTTGTCATCATTCATTGGAACATCATTCCGTCCTCATTGGCTGGGCTTTGTGAATGGCTATAAATAAAGATTGAAGACATACAACCAATTAGGAAAGAGCAAAATCAATCAAACAAAACAGACATTCTTGGAGACTAAAAACGAAATATCATTAATTTTTTCCAGTAAACTTGTTGACCTATTTCAAGCAGGTTTCGTTATTACAATGGTTGAGGGTGTGGATCGGGGGAGAAGAAAGTAACGAGAGACCGATGAATCATCTCGAAACTGGTAAATGTGATTACAGCGGCAGGTGTTGTCCTAAAAAGGTTGGTGGCACACCCCCGATAGAACCCAGGAATGCCTTCTTGTTGAAAAACTTTCTTTATGCAGTCGACTGCACCAGAATAACGCTTCTCAGAGTGGCGGCCTTGTTCTTGAAGCCTCGAGCGAACAACCTGCATTTAAGATTTCTCAGAATTGAGGAATTGATTTTAGGTGGCATATAAGATGGATAGCAATCAAAATGAGCAGCTTCAACCATTTTCAAGAAGAAGAGTTGTTGTAGTCATACAATAATACCAAGAGAGGAGCACGAATTTGCTGATAGACTGCTTGGACTGAAAGAGAGAGGAATCAACAGGAAGCAAGGTTGTCGTAGCCTAAAAGTATTAATACAACATATCTGTGCTGTTAATTGTCCTGTTACATTGTAACTTTCTTTTTATTCTTATCACACATTCATGTGGATATTCTCATTTTTTGGCAGGTAGATGGGGGAATAAGGCAGGGTGGGACAGTTTAATATTTAAATCTTCTTTGTCTTTAAAGAAAATAAAAACAGAGAATATATTACCTATAATGAATAGTCACGTGGTAGTAGTTAGGAATTTTACATTTAAAATTTCGATTCAACCCAATTTGTCTTATAAATAGGGAGCTGTCATTGGCATCCACATCTCCTTAGGTTGGTCATTGCAACACAAAGGTAAAAGAAACGAGCCTATCTAAGCACATAGCAGATATGCCTCAGTACATAGAAACTAGAATGTCAAAAGATGGAAATTCTCATCACACCATACCTCATGTGGGTACGTCATTGTGGAAGCAAATATTTTTGAAACTGACGAGGCAACAGCAACATCACTTGCACTGAGTTTATCCATTGTGGTGTTATCTAACATCATCATATCGAATAAAAAAGTTTCTGATTTTAGTTCAGATCAAGACAAGTAATACAATGTAATTGTTTTCTAAAGACTGAAAAAGGTAAAAACTTACCCCGATCTGCCAAGTAAATTTTAATCTTCTCATAGGTTGGAAATTGGATGGCAACATGACTGATACCGGCCATAGCTGGCACAAGACCACTGTTGATCACAAGAAATAAAAAAATAAAAAGTAAAGAGCCAGAAATTATTTCCTTGACACAAATTCAAGCCCCCATACTATTGGCATGATTTCATTTAACTAACCTGTACAATCCACGAACACCCTCTTCATGAGCAATTCTCCTTAAGGCAGATAATGTGCTCCTGTATGGCATTACACTGGTTCTCATTCCTTGTGTCTTCACAAGCAATTGAAAGGGAAAAATGAGCAACAATTTAACTATTCTTTATTTAGAAGAGGTCAATGAAAGGCCCACGGGAAACTGGGTCTCCCATGCATAGGATATGTGCAAAGAAAATTTTACATTCCCCAGTCCAAACAAGGAGTGAAATTTATGTGATTTGACGCCATATTCATCTGGACCGCATTTTTCCATTTAACAAATCAAAATTCTCTATGCATAAGGAACACGGTATATTTCCAGAAAATATATTTTTCAACACCCTCTGGGTGTGCACCTTAGTGTGAAAAAGAAAATATACTCCTTGAATAATATGAGCAAATGAATTTATGCCGCAACAATCACAAAAAAAAAAAGGAAGACGTCTTGCTTCGCTGCGCATCAATGAAAGAAATCTATAAAAGATACAGGGACCTCTAGTAAATGAATGAGAATATCCAGATCCAGAAACCAAAAATCAAGAGGAGCTTTCCTTCTTTCCAAATGAACCCAGTGACCGCAAACATAGCACACCTCTACAATAGCTTACCCAGAGTCGAGGTAAGCAAATTTTAATCCTGTAGATTACTTAATTGAGAAGAAAAATACTGAATTCAAAACATCAATGAAAGAAATCTATAAAAGATACAGGGACCTCTAGTAAATGAATGAGAATATCCAGATCCAGAAACCAAAAATCAAGAGGAGCTTTCCTTCTTTCCAAATGAACCCAGTGACCGCAAACATAGCACACCTCTACAATAGCTTACCCAGAGTCGAGGTAAGCAAATTTTAATCCTGTAGATTACTTAATTGAGAAGAAAAATACTGAATTCAAATGTCATAAATAATTTATAATATTTCATTGAGCAGAGTTTCATGTTTGCTCATGCATCACTAAAACCAGCCTCTTCATACCAACATCAAAGCTTAATAAAAACAAACCACATTTAATGAATTTACATAAAATTGGATGAGAGGCATACCTGAAGCCTTGTCTTGACAACCCATAGAGGATTTGTGGCAATAGTTGTTGCCGCTCCAGCACCAGAAGCAGCTATCACATTGGCACCAATAGATAGCTTATGATTTACATCTACAATTGCCAAAAAAATAAGGCACAGTAAGTAATGGTACAAAGGGGAAAGCTTGCAGTTTTATTGTTAATTTAAAACAGAAGTGAACATATATTTTTATCAAAAGATAAAATAAACACTTTTTCATTAGAAAAGTAAGTAATAAACTAACCATCAGCTCCAAGAATACTTTTTAATTGCTCATAAATTGTGAAATACACCTGAAAAAATTGTATTGCTGGGTCATTTCGCATGGCATTTTTCTTTCTTGAGACAGGACAGAGAAAAATTAAATATATAACTAAAGACTAGGGGCCTTTGCGTAATGGAGGAAAGAAACATTAGCCAAAAGATAAAAAGGCCTCCCCAAAAGTGTAAATGTCAAGGCAAACGAACTGCTTCAGTAAGCACCATAATAACCACAAGCAGAAAAAACTAGCAAACAATGAAATGTGACGTACTGCCCAATTTGGAAGCAATGCCAGCATCGTAGGGGAGAGTCCACGATACATTCCACGCAACCCCTCCTTCTGGAATATCTGTTCTAGACTCCCAACTATAATACTCCCTGGGCAAGAATAAGAAAGTGAAAGAAATCAAGAAACAAACAATAAGTCGTGTTTGTATTGTGATATGAAAAAATTACACCCCAGCTTCAAAATAAATCCTTTAATCTTCAAACATTGATTCACTGTCAAGCTTTCACAAATTAAGTAGTAATAAATTTTTTTTGAAAGTTCTACAGATACTGCGTTAGATTTAATTCAACATTCTGTTAATGGAAGATGAATTTACAGTTGAACTTATAAAAAAAGTGACCATCATACAACTAGTTGCATTTGCAAATTACTGATCTCACTAACTCTATGAATCATAAAACTTCCTAAGGCGACCAAAGATGCGTCACCTCACCTTTCATATTAATATTAGCATTAACAAGCTGTGGTAGCCCATGGACCTGTAATCTAGTCTTTATAACATCCAAAGGACACACAAAAGTGGCTGCAATCATTCCTGCAGCATATCAAGATCACCAAATCAAAATACAAAATTTTCAAGCACAAATCACATTCTCCACAATTATAAACCAAAATCAAACATCATCTTACACAATTAAACAGTACAACATATAAAAACTTTTACAATGACCAGCAAAGTTGTAGAAGAGTGAGAGGCAATTACCGGCAGCGGCACCAGCGCCGGCATTACAGAGCAGCCCCTTGGGACTTGGGCCATGAGTATCAGAGGCCATTTCTGAATCTACAACAATTCGTTTCAAGAAAGTTGGACGTTTCAAACGAATCGGCTACTTTTGAGATGATAACAATAATATCGGAGGCTTGATTACTGGCGGCGGCGGTGGAGTCCTCTCTCGAGAGGCCGATCGCGGAAAACCAGGGTCGCATGGCCAATCCGAACAGCTACGAGGAAAAACTCAACAACCACAAAAACGCATCAAAAATCGAAATTCAAAAGGCTTTTACTTTAATTTCTAGAGATTTTGTTTTTTTATTTTAGCTGCTATATTGGCGATTGGATCGAGAATAAAGAAAAGGGAAGCTCCGCGATAATTCAGAGGGGACGATTTGGGGTTGGGTTGTGGTAGGGAGGAATGTATAATAATGAGGAATGTATAATAATTCCCATATCTTCGTTTAATAACGAAACAATTCATCACTTGTACCTCATCTATTGTCTGACTAGCAATTTAGTCTCTATTTTTTAGGAAGAGTGGATTTGTCAAAGCCTCTTTGTTGAAATAATCCCCAAAAAACTCCAAAGATGCTACTTATAATCTTAGACAAGCATGCTCTCATTTTTCTATGAGGGAAATTTCTTTTAGATAGTCATGTGATGTTCATTGTTGAACTTTAAGAACTGTATAATGTTATTAAAAATGATCAAATGAAGCACGTCTGAAGGTAAACTATGCCCCTATTTGGGCTCCATTATTTTGAATTATAATGAAAATAATAGTATTATTGATAAGAAGAGAGAAAAATGAATTTTAATTTAATTGGGGCCAAACAAGAACCATATTTCTTGACTTGAGTTGGTATCTAATATTTGAAGGGGGGCTGAGAGTAAAATCAAAATTAACAAAATATTGTATGTTTTCGCCATTGAAGTTCATACAACAATAATGAAAATGATGCTATTATTTACATTCACAATTTTTATATATGCATCACATTCTATATACAACCCTATTAAAATATTAAAAATTACTATTTTTATTCACATCAGATTTCAATATTATCCTTATTAAATTTATTCGTTTAAATATTATAGGTCCATACAAATTTTATATATTAATTTCATTATAAATACATTCCTAATGCAATTTCAAAAATTTTTAAAATCACTACATTCATTCAATGACTATCAACATCTAATTTGATTCTTACTTTTCATTTTTTATATTGTCATGTGCTTTAATATTTAGTTATAAAGGTTAGCAAATCTCTTTCTTGAATTTTTATGATTCTATAAAGAATATATTATTCAAGCAACCAAACAAATACAGTCTAAAATCATATGTTAATCAATTTTTTTTTTCATTTTTTAGCTTATAAGCTCATAATTTTTGTTGTCTGTGTTTCGACTGATAATTTTAAATTTGTTTCTTTTTATATTGTAATAATATTTGGACAAGTATTGAAACTTATTTTGAAATTTCTCGTATATTTCTATATGTCAAACAAATACTTAAAAAAGCATAAAAACTAATATTCCATTTTTCATATCATGAAAGAATTATAACTCTAATTGTGTGTTGATTTTTATTTTATTTTTTATTTCCGTTCAAGAGGATAATTTATGATTAGAGTTTTACGATTTTAGATGAAGATGGTATTTTATTATTATTAGAATTTTAGTTGAACACGAACTCTAAAAAAATATATAAAAAGTTTAAAATAATTTATGAAAATAAATATTAATGGATGAAGTTAGAACAAGATATTTTTATTTAATTTTATATATGCCTATTTAGATAGATTTTATAAGATGAAAAATATAATATAATTATATTTTTAAAAGTGGATATATATATAAAAACTGCAGATGTAAATAGTAGTACCCAATGAAAATAGCCATTGATTTGCTAATCTTAAGTCTTGGGATTAATATGAAAATTTGAGAAATATATTGAGCGGCAATGGTGCAATTATCCCTCTAATATGTCGAACCTGTGGCTGCTGATTTTCCACGATACAAATGGACCCAACTTGAAAGTTGTACTACTCAAGATTCAAACTAGTAGTATCAGTGGTCGTTTAATAGGAATTTTATTAATTAATTTTTTGATCGTTAGAGATAAAGTCGATTCTAATTATGAGAGAAGAATTCAAAAATGACAGCTGAAATAGTAAAATAACGGTCAAAAAATTGATGATAATTGGATTACAATCCCTACCAAACATGATCTCAGTCTATTATGGTACGTTAGATTGCAAGTATGAAATTTTTATGAAAAGAAAATAAATTTTAAGTAATTCAATTATCTAAAATTTATTTACATGAAAACTTGTCACTTAAACGTGTTTTAATTGTTTTAGCTTTCAACTTAGAAAATATTATATTTGTATTTTTTTATTGGTGGGTAGATAAGAGAGAGTGGATAGATGAGAGAGAGAAAGAGAGAGTGAATTCTCTGGCAAATAAAATTCTACTATTCCTAAATAAAATATTTTCCTTGATTTTGAGAAAAATATGGTTACGCATGAACGGGAATTAATGCTACAGGGGGGGGTAGACTTGAACATTGTTCCTACATGACCTGATCAATTCGATCAGGCACTCGCCATCTATTTGCATTGATAGGAAAACTACCATTTTTGATTCCTCTTCAATGATCTGGAATTTCTCTGAGTAGTGCTGTTCGAGAGGAAACACTGGCTCTTATCGAAATTGACCTTTTGGCCGTCCTCAAGATATGTTTTCAGATACCGCTATACAATTACAACCCGTTTTTGCTCAATGGATACAAAACACCCATGCTTTAGCACCTGGCGCAACGGCTCCTGGTGCTTGCTAAAATAAAATGTACGAATAAAATTTATAAATAATAAGGTATGAATAAAATTTATAAATAATAAGAAAGTTTCATTATGTAAGTTATCTATTGTAATAGTACCCGACGATATTTTAAAGCATAAACTTAATCTAAAATCATAAAAATCAAAATGTTTCAATATCCCATAGAGGCATAAACATAAATTGATAAAACCATAACCATAAACCATCATCACAAATTGCACAGTAGATAGCTTTACGGCTTTGTTATCCGTACATTATCTCTGTTTAATTAATAATTACAAATAGATAACTTTTCAGATTTCCAATTCCAATTTACTGTTTGATATGAAATAAGATTTTTCATCCAAAGTTAGAGAACCAACCTTGAACCTCCTCAACTAGTTCAACAGCCTTTGGAGTTTTGGACCCTCTTCTTAGCAAATAGTATAGACACGGTACTTCAAATAATCAAAATGGTTCACCTACAATTAAAAAAAAAAAATCCCAAAAAAATAAGAACTCATTTTCTGAATGACAAAAATAAATCCCAAAGTTGAAACTTGAAAGAATTTTTTTTCTTTTGGACAGTTGGAGGAAGATTAGTAAATGACCCAAGTTGGCAGACTACGTAGTCGGTGCCAACAATAACGATGGTTGGTGGTCGGCGGCTATGGGTGGGTCATTGGTGAAAAGATTTAGAGTTGAAAGATTTTGATTTTTGAGAATTATTTCAATTGATTTTGTAAAGGCCAAAGGAATGGGATTATACGTGAAGAAAAATATGAACAAACGTGACAATGGATATTGAATCTATTGATTACAAATAAGTGGACCGAAAATTATATAAGTGAGTGGGCCAATGATTAAAAAAAATTCATTTAAGGTGGGCTAGTCCATTGAAATTAATTGTTGTTGGGCTAATAAGGGTATAGATAACAATTCAAACAATTTTTACTTATTTTATTTATTTTTTATTTTTTTAGTGTATTGGACCTCTTAAACAGTGGGCTGCAGCCAAGTGCAGCCCATGACTGGATTCGTCCATGTGGTTACGTGATCAAAAGTGGAAAAATATTTTATGAAAAAAATGACAATCAAACAGTACAAAGGTAGGAATTTGAATGAAAAAAAATATATTTTCCATGAAAAATATTGATAATCAAACGCACTCTTAAAGAATTTTAGGAGGCTCCAACATAAAATGCTCTCTATTTTTAAATAGTCAATTTTTAAATTTATGCTTCAAAAGATACTTAAATTAATATTTTAAATTAACATTTGTATTAAAGGCATTTCATCTTCAACGTACACAATAATTTGAAGAGAAGTTAGTAAAAATAAAAGATAAAAATATAATAATAAATAATTCTTGGGAATAACAAAGGCCTCGTTTGGTAGGGATTTTTTGCTCCAAAAAATTGATTTTTTGACCGTTATTTTACTATTCAAGCCGTAATTTTTGACTTCTTCTCTTACATGTGGACCCCACTTTTCTTCTAACGGTCAAAAAATCAATTCTCAAAATTCCTATCAAACGGGCCCAAAATTAAGGGTTAAATTCACCAAATGGCCACCCAACTTTAGATTTAGTGTTATCATGACCATCAAATTTGATTTTATTTCACTATGACCATCTAATTTTATATAATATTTCATCATAGCTAACCAATTTATTTTCACCATTTTCAATAATTTTAGAAGGGGCAAAATAGTAACTTTGTATTTTATATAAGAAATAAATAGAAAAATAAAAGCATTTTTTAATTTTAAAATAAATTTTTAAAAATAAGCTTTTATTAATTTTTAAAGGAATTTTTTTTATAAAAATTACTTCTTATTTTATATTATTTTTCAGAGTAATTTTTCCCCTAAATATGTTCTTATTTTATTTTAAAAACTTTTTTTAAATAAGTTTTTATTTATTTTTCTAAGTAATTTTGTTAAATAATTTTTTATTTTATTATTTTAAGCAACTTTTTAAAATAAGTTTTTATTTTAATATTGTTTTTTTAAAATTTATTTTATATATATAATGTAAAGTTACCATTTTATCCCTTCTAAAACTAGTGAAAATGATGAAAAAAAATGTTCGGTGTTCATGATAAAATATTATATGAAATTGGGTGGCTATTGTGAAATAAAATTAAATTGGGTGGCCACAGTGACATTAAGTATAAAGTTAGGTGCCCGTAGTGAAACAAAATCAAATTGAGTGACTATGGTGACACCAAGTATAAAGTTGGGTGACCATTGACGAATTTGACCTTAAAATTAAATGTTAAATATGAAGAGCTTGTTGGAGTGCTTAAAAAATTTTGCTCTCTAAATTTATAGATGATCACTAAAATTGTAGAATATACTCTTTAAAAATAGAATATGTTTTGGAGATACTCTAAGCAATATTCAACGCAGAACAATAGACCTATGCTTATTAATTAATAAAATTATAAGTGAATGATGGAACCCAACATTTTAATGAAGAAAAAAAAGTGCTTTACAAAACATGCACAACTTTTAACCCTTTCGTTGCCATTGCTACAATAAACTTCTTGCTCATCCATGGTTGTTAAGATTCGATGGGAGGTTGACGTTTGTTGCCAGGGAGAGTT